GTTCGCACGCAGCCTTATCCCTTGCTCTTATTCACATCTAGATGTGTATAAGAGACAGGTATGGGTGTAATGTACACGATTTTAATTCTTTTTAATATTTGAATAAGATGCTCTACTTGGCCTCTTTTTGGCTACGACAGTTTAATAATTTGTCATTATCAATACTAATTATCATTAATGAAATAATATTCAGTCAGAGGGCTTATTTATGGTAATAATATGTATACTAAGCCTGAAGTTGGCGCTTTCCTACGGCAGCCATCTTGGATGGTACACATACACAATTCTGCATTGCCCTGCCATCTTGTCAGCACTCTAGTTGTTTAATAGCTCTATGCTCTGAACATATTGTATAAACTCTCATAGCTACATCTTGAAAGTTTCCATGGCGTTGAGTTGAAAAGCATAGTGGTTAAGATGCTTCACAGGGTCTTGGGTTCAATTCCCGTCATGGTAACAGGATTTTTTCTCAAGACTAAAACAACACCATTCCCTAAGCCTCATAATGAGACTTAATTCATGTACAGCATCTGTTTATGTTTGTCTTGTGAAGGGATATGCCACTTTGGATAGTGAATTCGCTGCTTGGCATATCCTGTACCTTTGGCCTAAACCAATATATAAAAAAATCATTTGGTTTACGTTCAAAACAAGGATACTGTGCACCCTTCCCTTTTTATACTCTTTGAGTAAAGCAACTTTCATCACACAGTACACCTTGCACTAATCACCTGCTCTTTTCCAAATAATCTTATTATTATTTAGTCTATTTTTAACGTAATATTATCAGTAATTTTTTTAATCAACTTTGTTTCATTTTGTCATTCACTGGATTTCTACAGGATCGTCTATACTTTGTCATGGAGTATGTCAATGGAGGTGACTTGATGTTCCAGATTCAGAAAGTAGGCAAATTCAAGGAACCACATGCTGTGTAAGTTCCACTGGTTAATTGGAGATTAGGATTGCGAGTTGGATGGCTGAGCAGTAAAGACAGGGGCGCCGCCACCTACAGCCCGTAATATCGGCGCTGGTTCGAACGGCACGCTCACCTATGGTTCTGGTTGCGGAAGTCTTCTCGGATAAGAATTATAAACCGTAGGCCGGGCAAGGCACTTTATCTGCGTTGCTTCTCTCCACCCAGGAGTATAAATGGCTACCTGGTAGGGTTAAATACCAAAATGCACTGATGTTACTGCTGCAGTGTTATAGAATACTCCCTCAGGGAGCTGAGTTTGTGCTACATAGGCGTTTATTCCAATGATCGAGGGTAATAATGTGAAGCGCTTAGAGGCCTTGTTGGCGTTAAGCGATATATAAGTTAGAACCCAATACATCTTTCATGACGAGTAGGGGGTTACCTTGGTGTACAGGTCTGTTACAGCCCCTGTTGTGGACAGGAGAGAGTAGCTGGTACCGGTTTACTGGGTAGCTCAGACATGAAGAGAACCTTGGGCAGAAGAAGTTAACTTTGAAAGCTAGTCCACACCTCGAGCGCTTTGAGACTTCTGTATAAAGCTCTCTAGAAATCTTACATTAATAAATAACCCTACTAGATGCAATGCTCAGTCCAACTATCATGTTCCACGCTAATATCCATATACTGACATGCCCTCACACATTTATATGGGAAAACAATTGTATGTACTGTATGGTATAAACAAAGATTTAGCAATAATTAACATGTTGACCACTTCTGAGCATACTTAGTTGTACATGGTACCTGAGCGTGCGTCGGTGTGTGCCATAAGCATTGCATGTAGACATTGTAAGCACTTTTATTTTAAATGTTATGTACTGCTCAGCTCAGCAAGCACTCGTTGGACAGTCCATCAGTGATACCATTGTGGATGGCGTGGGGAAGGGAGCTGTGGCGTATCTAGAAGTCTTGAAATGGGGGCGCTGATGGGGGATTTGGTAATTTCAAACATACATTTTGCTAACTGACATTAAAATGTCATATATATAAAGTATAGCATTCAACTAGTACTATTAACTGTAACATAGAAGGGTGAAAATGATGACATAGATGAAGACTTCATTTCCCCAGGAGTGAATTCTAATCTAACATACAGTAGGTGATAAATTCCCATTTCAGAAATTACCCATAAATATAACACAATATTGTGTGATAGTACATGTGCATATTAAATCATACATTCACAAACATGAGTACATTTATTTCTATATTTACATAAGTAATTTGTTTAAATACATAAGCTGTGATAAAAGAAAAATATATTTGAGTTTGCGCATAGGACATAAGCATCATTTCTGTATTTTCAAATTACAGTAATTGATTAACGTATTTAATTTACTTAATGTATATTGGATTTGTGTTAATTCAACAGATTCTACGCGGCGGAAATAGCTGTCGGCCTGTTCTACCTCCACAAACAAGGAGTCATCTACAGGGATTTGAAACTTGATAATGTTCTACTCGACCATGAAGGACATATCAAGATTGCCGACTTTGGCATGTGTAAAGAGAGAATGTTTGATAATGCAACCACAAAAACGTTTTGTGGTACTCCGGACTACATTGCCCCAGAGGTATGTAAATGAATCTGGTTGCTACCAAATCAATGGCTTTGCTTTATATTGTCAGGCCACATTTTACAAAAAGTACTAAATTTAAGAGCCTTTACCTTATTAGAAGATATAGCCCAGAGTGGTGTATATGAACCACTTGCCTGGGGTTGTTTATTAATTGGATTATAATCCTCTTATAGTTCATTTGGAAAAACACTGTACTTCAGTCTTTAAATGACCTTTTGTAGTACAGATGCTAATATTGCTTGTGTATTATTAGTGGATTGTTTTGTAAATGACTATAATATATATTTATTCAATAAAACATCAAACAAAGTGGTTAATTTTGGTGGTTATTTATGTATATATATTATGTCTAAACTTCTATTTGTAATTATTATTGGTATGAAATATATAAGAATAAAAGTAATGCTTCTATTTTTTTCTCTTAATGTTTAGTAGTTTAATATAATTTTATTATTTGTTAATTCATAAATAATGTGTTGCTGTTATTTTTATCTACCTTTTTTATAACCAGATTGTTGCTTATCAACCTTATGGTAAAGGAGTTGATTGGTGGGCATTCGGCGTTCTTCTTTATGAAATGCTTGCTGGCCAGGTAATATCCTAGCTGCCTATATTTGTCTGTTTATTGATCGTTATAACAATCGGCAATGCTCAGTTGCCCTTTTCCTAGTAATTGCTTAATGGACAAGCAAATATATTCCATTATGTTTTCTTCTTTGCATTTACTGAAGATTGGTTAGAAGGTGGCTTTGAATTTCTAAATTAGTTTTAAGACAACATACTGCTGTAATAATTTAAGATTCTAGATTAAGGAATTATATTGAATCAAACATGTGAACAATGACATTTCTTTTTTTCATATTAAACACAGTGGAATCTGGGATTGAACTGGCATTAAAATAAGTTATTGTAAAAATGATTCACTGATGTATAGAATATTTTTGGTTCTAAACTTGTGTAGTACCTAATGCAAAAAAAGCCACAAAGAATGTGAAAGCATCAGGAATATACCGTATGTGACCAGCTCATGCAAAACCCGCCTTTTGTCCAAATTTTTGATTTCGCACAAGTACTCATTTAAAAATCAGAATTTTCAACATTATCAGATTTTTGCATTTCATAAAAGAAGATATATTGAAGAACATATCTGTAAAATCACACAAATGTAAATGAAATTGTATTAAAATAATTTTAAAATACATACTAAATACAGTAATAAAGTATTGAATTTGTAATATTAGGAAGCTGTTTTCTGAAAACATAATAATAATATTATTATTATTTAGTGTCTTTATGAAAGTATAATACATACTCCAAGTATTGAAATACACGCAATCGTGTTGGGATTCAATATTTTGTGACATAATTATGTCATCATTCCTGATGATGACGTAATTAATGTCGAAATATTGAATCCCAACACGATGGCGTGTATTTCAATACTTGGAGTATGTATTATACTTTCTTATCTGAGATTATTTAGTGTCTTTATTGTTGTTTATTTTTATAATTACTATTGTTATTTTCATCGACTAGTTGAAAAGGACAATGCACTCTCCCTTCCTATGCTAGGCTACTATTTTGTCACTTGTTATTCTGACTGGAACATAGCTCTTTGCAAAATCCCCTTTAACAAATTTATATACCTGTTAAGACCTGCTGCTTTGGCAGTTTGTCTGAATTCCATGATACACCATTACTAAAATTTGATATAAGATCAATGAATGCATCCATCATTGAGTGAGACATAATAAGCTAGTCACAGAGTAAGCAATGAACCAGATATGACAGTACCTACTTCTTTGCTCCGGTTCAAGGCAAATATTATTTACCATTAACTAATACTTGTTTTCGTCTCTGCCTAGATCTCCACAAATCTCTGTATAAAAATATAAATTTCATCTCTTGCATTACACATTAAATGGTTAAATTATTATTTAATGGGAGTTATGTGAAGTAAAATATCATTTTCTAGTCCTAATTTGTTTATCAAAATAACATAATGTTTTTTCTCGTTTACGTGAAAGCATTTTTATTGGTGTTAATGGTATCTCTCTAGATTGCATAAAAAATTTGACATTTTAAAAATTGTATTTATATTTGAACAAAGAAAAAGGTACTGTAGAGGAGAACTATAATACAATCACCAAATACTTGAATATTGTCATATTTCAGCTATTAAGATCTAATTAAATATCTTGATAATATATGTTTTGTAATTCTTTCTTTAGTATCTTAAGCATGTGATTAAAAGAGATTTTTTTGTACATAGTAAGACTTGACATTTGTAAAGTAAAAATAAAGTATGTTTGGTAGATTGCCATATTCAGCTACAAGGAAAATATAAATCAGGTTTAGCATTGCAAGTTTGCCTTTTGTTTTATATACCTGCATTTCTTAATGCAACCAGAATCTCAGGCCAAATGATGTCAAGGACGATGGTTACTTTTTTATTTCAAGAACTTAATTGGAGGAAAAGTTTATTTATTTCCATTGTAGTTTTATTTATTTCCATTGTAGTTTTTCCTATTGAAATAATAGATATTAAATTTCACTTCACTTTATTGATAAAACACTCAGAAGTATTACAAATGGTTACTCATTATTTATTATTAGTTTAAATTTAATGATTTTTAAAAATTTTTATGCATTGTTATTTATTTTCTCATCAGCCTCCATTTGATGGCGAGGATGAAGAAGAGCTTTTCCAATCTATATTGGAACACAATGTATCCTATCCAAAGGCAATGTCGAAAGAATCTGTGTCAATTTGTAAAGGAGTGAGTATACACCCCTAATCCCCCTGCCCTCCCCCTCCTTCACCTATCACTCTTTCCAGAATTTTTGAACCAATGGCTACTGAAAATAAAATGAAAGTCTTCAGTAGATTCAAAGAGTTGGTAAAGAGTATTTAAATCACAAAAAAAGGTAGTAGAAGTAAATTAGCAAGAAATGAAAATAATACCAGTGATACAGTACAACATGATGTATAGGGTGGTAATATTGGTACATAATAGCCAAGCTTGTTGTTTATGTCTTTTACAAAAATGATCAAAAATATACCTCCATCTTCCCATCCCTGGTGAATATTTTGGAAACAGAACTAAAATGTACAAGGTACACTGATAATAGTCATATAGGAACTCATCAACTGACTGAGTTTTAGATTGACATCACTATTATTATTATTATTATTATTATTATTATTATTATTATTATTATTAATATTATTATTATTACATCTATCAGATGTTTTTTTAAAGTATCATCCTTAAAAATCGAATGCATAATAAGATGCTTTTAATGAGTAATTCAAAGTAGTCTTTTGTTAAATATAAATAAATTGAAAATATTTTTGATAAAACTTTGTACATTTTGTGCTTAATCTCTTTATAGTTTTTAACCAAGCATCCTGCAAAGAGGCTAGGATCATCGTCTGAAGCAGAACGCGACATCAAGGAACACATATTCTTCCGTCGTATTGATTGGGACCGTCTAGCCGCCCGTGAAATCCAACCACCATTTGTTCCAATCATTGTATGTATCTATTTTTAACATTTTTCTTGATATTTATTTATTTATTTTCAGGATATCTTAGCCCGACTCTAAAATATAACTTAACGCCTTTGCAATTTAAAAAAACAAAATATTGGTAAGATTTAATCATTGATTTGCATGGTTTAAATAAAGTTTTTATTTTTACACTGAAAAATTGTTTTCTGCTTATATTCCTTTTGTAGAATACTTTTTACATTCATATTAAATAATGATCACACTTCAAATTGAATGATTTATAGTTCCCATGTGAATGCAACTTTTCCTTGTTTTAAAAATTGTTTCCTTCTTTCCCTGCATTCATAATGTATTTTGTGATTCATAGTGTTGATTATAACTTGATATCATTGATTAGTTTATTAGTTGCATCAACAACACTGATCATTTCCCGTCAAGCTTTTGTTATCCTCCTGTAATGCAGATTACCCCCCAAAGCAACAAAAACGAATTACCGAAACTAATGTATACAAAATGGATCAATATGTTTCTCCCTTGTACAAATTATTGCTTTGTGTTGTTAACAAGAAAATTGATGTATGTGTTACCTTGCAGTACTTAGGAGTATAAATGGGTGGGTACGAGAAGGATGTTCTATATTCAATGTATTTGCTCTGTAAATATGACCAAAATACACTGCCAGTGAGAAGAGCATGTTTTTTTTTTCAATTTTCAAGAAGGGAATCATTAGAAGACTCTTTACAAAGTCCTTGAAAATGCCAACCAGATTTATTACACTACTTCAATAAACTACTTTGATATGGTACTGCTAATTTTGTATATTTATTAATATTCTTCCTTGAGGGAAATAACATGTTTGATTATTCTCAATAACTTCCAAATCAAGATTCAGATACTGAAGTTTTACTGGTATAGTGATAATAAATGTAATGGTAAATTGTTAATTAAACAGTCATAATTTGTTATTATAGATGATCAACAAAAACGCACACGCTTCCATCATCATACTTAAAATAATTTACAATCTTCATGAATAATTGGTTGAAGCTGTTCGTAAAATTTGTTTTACGACATTTACCACTTAGCCATGAAAAGTCATGATATATTGCTTCGGCAAATGGAATATTTAAAGGGTAGAATCATGCAATCTATACGTGTTGGTGTTGAGCATGTCTTCAAAGATGTGCTTCATTTAACTAATATTGTGGAAAACAAATATGCTGATTGTTGTATTTAAGTTTGAATTATATGATAGTAATGGATAATAGATTAAGTTCCTACATGACAGGTGGTAGTGTCTTTTGGGAATGAAAAGGTAGGAGAAAAGGTAGCAGATTTAGCCCATAACTCGCAGGCGTCATTGTGCTGAATTGCATATAGGCGTGGTTTGACTACTTACAGTAGTTACCGTAAATAGGCGTTTATAACAACTTAATTTTCACATCATTTCACAACGTCTTGGGCTGAAATAAGCCATAGCATCATGGTAACCTACTTTTTCGGAAAGATGCAATGGGATCTTTAAAGTGGACACAATTGATATGTGTGTAACAGTGGACCTCCATTTTAAGTCTATCGGATAAAACTTTGTTCTAATAAACCAAAACCTGGATGAAAAGCGGATTGAACTATCGACAGTGTTAAGACTGCAGGTAGCAGAATCCCTGTCTTACTTCTTGGCCATTTGACATGAAAATTAAGCTGTAAGAGTTAATTCAACTATAAACTAGGGTATCACCAAATAATAAGTTAAATCTACAAAAGCTGTATCATATTACATGTTTTGATATACATTTTGATTCATCATCATCGTAAACCATGGTGCATCACATAGCACAGGAAACACCAGGAGGTTCTTTAATATCATGTTGTATAAATATGTTTTTATCATTTTAAAAAGCTCTGTATTCAATAAGCAATTTTTAACGAATAATTTAGCCAAAAAATGTGTTGTTTGAGATACAGTTGCATGTAATCAGGTTGAATTTCTGTAGTAAGATTTTTATCTAAACTTTTTATATCTGTAAAAAAAGATGGTAATCCATTGTAAGGCTTTAAGATCTGTCCAAACTATCAAATTTTATTTGACATGTGACATGCCTATATATGGTCATGATGACATCACATCATGACCATATATAGGCACATCATGACTATATATGGGCATACAACAGTTTTTGTCAAATTAAATTTGATAGTCTGACAGACCTTTAGATGTGTTTTACTTGTCTTAATTGCCATGGCTTACTTTATGATCTGTTGTAGATTGATGTTTGTTGTTAATAATTCAACTGGAAATTGGTAACCACGTTTGTGCATGGAGGTTTTATTTCCAATTATGTTGTGGTGCAGAGTAATCTACCTTCATTTTACGAGCTTCTTTTATTACCTTTGATGCTTTCAAATTTCGTGTCAGCAGACATCCCAAAGTCTAACATGCCGATTTTCTCCATTTTCGTAACAGAAAAACCCTCGTGCTGCCGAGAATTTCGACAAGTACTTTACGAAGAACCCATGCACTCTGACTCCAACTGAGCCACTGGTTATCATGAACATTCAAGACGAATTTAAGGGCTTTACATTTGTCAATCCCTACTTTAATGGATCATTGACCTAATGAAAAGTGCTCTCAGAACAGAATTATATTATAGCAATTGGCAAGTTTTTAAGATATTCTGTTTTTCAAAATATCTGCTTGAAAAAACAGCAATTATTAACATTGTTTTGAAAGCCATTTTCATTACTCATTAAGGTGTGGGTGGTGCTAGCCAATTATAGAGACACTATTTGCAAGGGCCACTTTACATCTCGCTTTGAACATCTCGCACTTTCTGACATTTTCATCTTTGTTCTCTTTAGCACATATTTTTCACTGCATCCCTATTCGTCAATTGGTGTTATAACTATGCTTTGCTTTGTAACTAACACAATTATATTGTATTATTTACTTTTGCATTCATCTATAGAACTCACTTTTATGGGATATTTTGTAACACTGTAATATTGTCTTATTTATTTTATATACAATCATATATCTACTACTAATTTATGCATAATAATTATAATATTGTACAATATCAGTATTTTATTAATTTTGCCAAATTATGTTTCTTTAAAAATTTAAACTAATAAGAAAAAGTGGCTAAACAAATCTCACAATGTCAATGTCTTAGTGTGTGGTGTGTCTGGATACTAAATTGTGTCCTTGAGTAGAAACTTTATTCACACTTATCTTTCTCTACCAAGGAGTGTAGGTTGGTAAGCCTATCTGGTAGGTAATGATTTAATGCCTGTCTAGTTATTACTAGCTGAAACATCATAGAATACTCCCTATGATGCTGAGTTTGTATTCCAAAGATTTATTCTAAAGTCTGGGTGAAATGTCTGGCGGCTCGGTCGTATGTGACATAATTATAAAAAAACCAATGTTTTTTTTTATAATTAATATATAAAAAAAATATGTGCAAAAAATCCTAATTAAAAAGGGGATATTTTGGGTTGATGACACCAAATTCATTAAATCTTCTCTTATTAGTCATCTAATCAGCATCAACTATGAAGAAAGTATATATTTTATCAATTATTAATAAAATAATAAATTATTAATAAAATAATAACTTATTAATAAATAATGACTTATTAATAAAATAATGACTTATTTTTATCCTGTAGGGCCTTTACCAAGCAAAGATTTTGAATTTGTTTATGTTTAATTTTAAACTTCCAAATATGAAATCTTAATTTGTCAATTTTAAAAATATATGTGTTAGATTAATAATAATTCTGGAGACTTCTAAAGCAATGATGTCCACTATTCAGTGCTTTTAGCACCCAGGCTTGAAAATGAAAAGAGAAAAAAAAGTACCAGAAAAAAAGGTTTCACAATCTCATCACATTACAAAAGATTACTGTTCAAGTAAGTAATCTACTTATGCCAGGCGCATGCTGCAGTCCTCGGCCAATGTGTGTTTCCATGGAGAACATTGCACAATGGTGGGCGCAATCAATTCTTTTGAATGACAACTGCACCATTCCGTCAATCATAAGATGAGATAGGCTGTGTTCAGACGCAACGAGTTACACTAACGTAACATTAATGGTTCAGTGTGAACTTGTGCGCGGTGTAGTAAACACCAGTATTAATGTGAAATCACTACAATAAATCACCAACAGACCACAGATTAGCGTACGCCACTGAGTTACAAATATGACTAATCACAATAAGCCTAGATGTAAACAGGAAATAAAACGCTAGATACGAATTTATATATTTTGTGAGAATACTTACACAAATATTGGATTAATGTATGCCCAACATTAAATACATGTCGCGTATCTTTCAAGTCTGGACGTAACTATAGATTTATATTTCATCGCAGAGTTTTCCTGGTTTAATAGATTACAATGTTACATACTGTGGTATATTATTCACAAGAATTGCTAACACTCTGTCCACACTATCATTTTTTATGTTACAAATACATCTGATTTGTCCATAATGGAAGTAATGTGACACTTTCATTATAGTATGGACGTGCTTTAAGTACTGCATCAGTATTATATACAACCCACATATTCTATTTCTCATGCAATTGTTTTCAAAGGGTACTTCGTGTTTTCTGAAGTAAATAATCTTTTTATGCCATTTTTTTTATGTTGTTTTACATTCATATCTTATTCACTTTGCTCATATAGAATTTGGTGATCAAATCTGACCTTTATATTTGCGTAGACTTCGGCGGAGGTATCATTTGTTTTTACAGGGTTATTTTTTATTTCATTTCTTTGATTCTCTTTTCATACAATGTGGTTTTTTTATACTAATTACAAATCTATTTATACTTGTTTTGATGTTTCTTTTCTCTAGATTGTTAAATCTTTATATTTATTTTATTATGATCATTATGAATATTCATTATGCTCATGAATATTTAAATTAAATGCTTATAAATATTTTATCTATCCAAAATAGATCACTATTGTTCCAATCCAGTTCACACCAGGATGTGAAAGTCATTTTTGTTAAATAAATTTAACACACACAAATACAAAATATACATTTAGTAGATAATATTATTAGCATGAAATCATTTTAATAGATTTGTTTGTTTATTAGTATTTCTCTACATATACATAAATTAGAAGTATAATTCATATGGAAAAAAAAGTATGTGGATGGTGGTCAAAATAAGTTTGAAAACAAACTTTAAGATATGACCACCATTAAAAATAATTAATAAATCATTATTAATACGATGACAGAAATAAAAATAAAAAATAAATAAATAAATACCTAAATAGATACCTACTATGATTTTCTTTTCATATTATACATTCTTCAGTAATATAATTCTCCAGCATTCATGAATATTTCTAGCATTTTTATTTTCCTAAATTGAATTATGTAAAATATTATTTATCTGTGTCTTTATGTTCTCTTTAATTAATAGACAATTCACCACCAGTAAGCAATATATATAATCCAGTTCACACCAGGATGTGAAAGTCATTTTTGTTAAATAAATTTAACACACACAAATGCAAAATATACATTTAGTAGATAATATTATCAGCATGAAATCATTTTAATAGATACCTACTATGATTTTCTTTTCATATTATACATTCTTCAGTAATATAATTCTCCAGCATTCATGAATATTTCTAGCATTTTTATTTTCCTAAATTGAATTATGTAAAATAAATTTGTCTGTGTCTTTATGTTCTCTTTAATTAATAGACAATTCACCACCAGTAAGCAATATATATATATATATATATATATATATATATATATTAATGCTAATTGTATTCATGAAGTATTCACAACATGCTATTAGTTCTCTATTATATCATTTAACATTCTTTTCCCTTTGCATATTTTGCACAAATTATAATACAGTACTAATTAAATATTTATTAGAGTACACAAGACTAATGTATAAGACAAATGAAATATGCTGCATACACTAAAAATATAATAACTATAAAACTCTTTAATTGACAATTAAACCAAGCACAGTGGATGTAAACTTACTGATTGCTTTTGTAAAAACCATTTAGTTTTAGTCATTTCTATTTAAACCAATACTATTTTTCATGCATTAACATTTAAAGTCAAAATTTACTAATGATTATGTTTATAGGAAAGAAGAGATTTTTCAGGTACTTTTGTATACATATCAATACCATACACTTAGCAGCATTTAGTATGGGTTGTTGGTGTTAATTAATAGAGTATTTTTTTTTTATTACCACATAGAAAATGGCTGCTTGTATGCAATATTTATCAAATAGATAAAAGAAATGAGATCAAGATTTGTTGAAATAATTTCATTCAATTTTCATTGGAATTTACTTTACAAATCTTGCATATTTCTTTTAAACATGAATTATCTGCAAAAAACTGCTGATGTTTCTGAAATGTATATATATTTTGCACTATCATCAATATTATTTAATGTTGATTTCATGGACACACTTTCATAGCACGGTTTGTTGTGTTCTGTGCTCTACGATGCCAAACTAAACTTTCTGCATATGTAATTTATTCACTCTACAAACCACTTGTCAAAAAAATAGGGGTTTTTTTTATAGTATATTTTGGATTTGTTTTCACAACTGATGTAAAGTAATTTATTACAATTAAAAAATAAATTATTAATTAATGTAGATAATGAGCACTGAGTCACAATTATTTCATTAAGACTAATTTTTGGAATGATTTATTCAACTGTTGTGGAATATAACGTTCAACTGCAGTACATTTAAGCTTTAGAAATTATCTAAACATGATCATCATATGCTTTGTTGACACCTGATTATGTTTAGATAATTACCAGTTGATTATTAAATTGATAATTCCTCATATTAATCACATTTTCTACCATGAATTTTCAATTTACAGAAAAACACAATGGACACAAGCAATTTTGACAAAGAATTTACAGCCCTCTCGATCAAGCTGACACCCACCGACAAACTTTGCATTATGAACCTTGACCAAACTGAATTTGACGGCTTTACTTTCATCAATCCTGAATTTGTCATCAAATGTTAATAACATAAGTGCAAGGAACATATGTGACACAGATTTTGTGACAGTAGTTGTAATCTGTGGTACACAGAAATTGTGCAGTCTCTTGTTTGTTAACTGATAACATAGTGGGTTTTGTTAACTTATTTCTAGTTATTTTTTTTCTTTTGCTGCAATTTCAACCTTGAGTTAGTATTAGCTAGAGTGCTTAGGGATCTTAGATGAAGAAAAACTGCTATCAGTAATATGTAATAACTGAGTAATGCCCTGTTCTATTAATTTTTGGGAAATATTTAAATATGTAGAAGCCAAGACTATTATTATTTTGCCAGAGGAACCATGGATCTCAATTTCAAGTTTTACTTTGTTGTCCTTTTTGTTGGTCATCAATTTTCTCTTGAAGATTGTCTGGATTAACATACAGGTCGATCATTTGTAGCACTTTGAAATGTTTACTTTATATGGGTATAGATAAGAATTTTTCAAGCTAAAACAGTATTTTGATTGACGGTATATTTTTTTGTATTATATAATCATCAGTTTGATCATTTATAGGACTAACACTTGTGCAGAATTGATCCTGCCCGCTTTAGGACTGTAATATTTTTATTATTTTTTTTTTTTGGAAATTTGAAATAGATTCATCTATTGTAAAAAATATTAGCCAGATAAGATGGACATTGTCACCATCGTTGAGGCTGTTATTTTTATTTTTGTTCCATTTCCCATAAAACCATTTTTTATTTTATACACACTAGTTTTTAATGTTTTAATTTTGCAATTTTATTAATATATTATGATGCATAAAGAGCAGTATCAGGAGTTCAAACACCTTTAAATTTTCTTCCTTTTATCCAGTAATTTGCTTCGATTCAAATACTACCGGTATACATTAGTATTAATATTATATTGGAGTTAAGTCTATATCAAAATTTGAAATTTTTGAAATATTTGATATGTATGGAATTATACATGTACATGTTGTTTGATTATATTTAAGTTAGAGCTTATATTTAATATAGATTTTTAATCGAAATCTGAATTACCTCAAGGCATCCAGCTCCCAAGCATGCATGTAAAAACAACCAGATTTCGTTTTTATATAAAATACAAGAATTTAATTCAGAGTAAACCATTATAGGCTAATATCCAAAAGCAAACCATTCTACAGAGATTTTGATCACATTACATGTCAGTATTTCGTTAGACGAAAATTAGATACATTTATGTAATTGATTGAAATATAATTATTTTAAAACGGTTGAAATATAATTATTTTAAAACGGTTGAAATATAATTATTTTAAAATGAGTTTTTCATTTGAACCGGAAAATGCGTGGTACCGCCCTCTAGAAAGTATTTAGTTTAATGAGCAGTCGCACAGAATGAATTGAACTATGTTGATTTCTCTGTAACGATTATTTAAGTTTTCCAACATAATTGACTATATAGAGACAATGCTTCTGTACCAACAAAGTCGTGCCTACGAACAAGTAAAACAAACAGTACATCATAATTTAATACAGACGTAAAGGTATATAAGAGTAATTATTTGTAGTGAGTATCGATCAGTAGTGATGTTAAATTGTAGATTTTTTAGATAATGCTAAAGAATTCATAGTGATTTATAGTGGTGTAAAGAAATCAAATTCATCATTGATAAATTGTTAGCACTCGGTAATGTTATTTGAAATGTGACTCTTTGTGAATATTTTGTTCATCTGTGGATGATAAAAAAAACTGTGTCGTTTACGCTTACGCAATATTCTCAGACTATGTGTATATACAGCAAAGGATATAGACTACAACTATTATACTATTTATAAGATGAAAACTGAGCAAATATGGCATATTGAGTTCAAGTAAAGAGCATGTGGGTTGAAGTGTTGACTCTGATTAAACCTTTACCAGAATGACCACTCGCGACACAGGTGTGTGGGTGTGGTTTATCACGAAATTTTGCCAGCTGCAAGATTCACCTACTGATCTTAATCTTCAGGCTGTCTCACTAAAGCCGGGCACTCAATGCGTCGTATGACCGTCGCACGACGAATCCACCTCTGCTTCCGGCGAGCGATAGACGACGCAACGCCGTCTGCTGATTGTCAGTGACGTCTAAACGGATCCTCATTTAAAAAAAGCAATGCTTTGGGTTCGTCGTCGCGTTGCCGTCGCATGGCCGTCGCGCGAAGTGAGTACCCGGCCTTACAAGTCTGATTCAACATCTGTTAAAGTCTTAAAAACAAAACATGTGTCTCAGTATTGGAACCTCACTCATTTAAATGTCATCTCATTATTATAGTAAAGTCCTTCAGCCAGGTAAATGTAATTAACTTGAATATCGAAACAAGTATATAGGCCTTGCTATACTTTGTATACAGTATTTCAATGAGATATTAGCTTTTAACTTTCGCGCCAATTTACGAACGTTTAAATAATAGCTTTCTTATAGCTTTTGCATAGACCTTAAAGGATTTTCGTAAAACGTTTTAAAATCATTGAAAACTATTTTTGCGATCTGGAACTTCTTGAACGAACGTTGATAGTTCATGTAATTCTTTTATACGAGACATTAAATGTTAATTTGTTTTTAGGGTTTTGCTGACAGTATACCTTTAAATTAGGGAATCTAGATGTTAGTCTGATTTGCTTCACAATACGATTTTGCAAGAATAAAGCACAGACTATTCAGATATATATATATATTTTCACTTACTGCTAATGCAAAGAAAATATTTAGAAATTTTAATTTTTGTTGGATAAAATTGTATACGAGTATTTCACGTGGATGGCCTACCACATTATATTGAATATATTGTTAGATTATATAAATTGTATTATGTATATGATGAAAACAATTTAATTAGGCTAGGTGGAATTTATATGCTAATATTGTAGTTAGTAAAATTAGTGCAATGTAATATGTATGTTCCTGTATATAGTTATAATTTCATACTGTTGATTAGAGATTATGTAAATGGTGTATTTGAGTGCAGTAAAGATGCTTGGGAATTCTTGATTTTTGTTTTTTCAAGACACATCGTTTCATGGTTATTCCACCTAAGATTGAACAAAATAACTGTTTGACCACCTTATTTAACATCTATTATTGTTCTAGTAAGAAGTAAGTATATATTAACTAGGCATTATTCTGCCTTATTTAAACTTTTTTAATGAATTCAAACGTTGTATCAACAAAATAATGTTAGTGTGCCATCGTATATTTGCCGTATTTACAATATACCAACACGCGGGCTTTCGTATTGCTTTTTGAATATTATGCTAATGATTGAATTAGTACTTAACCTAACTATTGAATTGAATTATTTGAAACTTCAACACAACGTAATTTATTTTGCTTGTGGATTAAGTTTTTAATGTAAACGCCCTCTTGCGTCGAAGGATCAAAATAATTTTTCTTCCCAACGTTAATGCGTTTAATTTATTCAGTTTCATTAGAATATGTGTGTATAATCGGACAAATATTTTTCAGTGCTGCGATATACCTTGCTTAGCTTAATATCAATTTGAGTTCATTGTAATAATTATATGATGATAATAATAAATGGAACAATATGATTTTAATATTTTCATGAACAAATGTTTTCTTTTCAGTTTTATTTGTTATTAAAATGTAATCTTCAATATATTCGTTTACATTCCTCTATATGAATTTTAACTAAAAGATAATAATAGCGGTTTTTCAAATCATTTAATTTTAATTCTAATGTAGAAATATCGTAAAGGTATTCATAATTCACTATTTAAAGTTTTGAATTTTAGTGATTTATTAAAAGATATTTAGATAATAATTGGTAACTCGCTTCACAGATTTGTTAATATTATGAAAATTGTTCAAATTATATACTATTGCGTACGATTAAATGGGATGTAAGTGTTTAAGAAACATGCGTTTCGTGTGATTATCTTATTTGTGTCAACCATCGTGTTACAGACTGTTGATTGTAACAGTAGAGTTAAACAAAAACAATTACCGAAGTACACAGTATTCTATGTTCTGTATGTTACCTGTACATCACTGTCCTTTACGTACCACTGGAGTGCGCCCTCGGAAGTGACCACTGTGAAATCAAAACAATTTTAAAGGATCTACTTGGTATAAGCAACCCTTGTAGCGCTACACTGATTCAAACATTTTTTCTTCTATTTTCAATTCTTTAAAATTTGTTCAGTAACAATGACCACCACCTCGCTAATTTCAATTTATTATTTCCAAGCAACACACAAAAATGCGAATACAAATCAATAAGCATGAGGACTAACTAAAATTAGGCCTAAACTGTATTTCTGTCGAGAGACTTTCCCAACAATAAAAGGGGTCGAAAACTCAAATTTAAGAAAGACTACAAAATTTAAATTGCATAATACTGTACAAAACATTGCAACATAAAGTTGAGCCTATAATAGTCTCAACTAATATAAAACAACGTGTGCAAGGATACATGTTGCTCTTGAAATATCACCACAATGAACGTTCATTTTGAAATAACCATTAACCTACACGTTGAGCGTTAATAAATAATGTCTTTTTTAACCTTCCAAAAAGTCACCGTCATTCTGTTGTATGAGTTCTCGTGCTGAGTCCTTGATTTTCTACGCTCATTAAAATTCATTATACAGTACCTCGCTTCATTTATTATTTACTGCTCACCATCTTCTTTGAACGTCTCTGGAGTAATTATATCGACAGTTCCAATAAGGCCTCTCGAGGAGTAACACCGATTAACTCGCTTGTGCATCAGCTAACGGTAAGTAAAGTCAACTTTCCAACGTGTGATGGGTCAGTGTAGAGTATATTGCTGTTCTAGGTGTAATAAGCTAACAATAGTGAGATTAATAGGTATAAAGAAGACATCGGTGTTTATTTCAATTCGATCAATAAATGTTATCGTTATTAATATTTCAGTCGTAGTGATGTTATGTGTTATTAAACTCCCATTCGTTAACGTCCCACTGATGCAATTTGAACGTTACTTCTCAATGGCTAGTTTAACAACCATACATTAGGGCGGTTAATAATCTTCCTATACGACAGTACATTTGTTTTCATACCACGTGTTTAACTATACAGAATGACATTTTACTGGTTTTTTTTTAAATTCAGTCTTTCTTGGATCGCCTGCAAGTGTATATATTCTTTCAAAAATCTTGCAGCACTATATATAGCATCATTTTCAAAGTGGCGTACATTAACGTTTACGATGACTTTGTTTCCTTCAGAAGAGTTTACCAGCATGCGCAAGTTACCAGAGCTAACCCTGGGGTCCAAGAAGCAGCCGTTGCTGACGATGGCGATGCTGGGTCTGGGGTACCTAACGGTTTTTTTACTGATAGCTGGACTGTTTAGCGATTACTGGATTGAGACAAAGGAACTCGCCTATGAAAGGGACTTCCCCGATTCCACACTTCAAGCGTGGGTGAGGTTGCATGCAGGTCTTTTCAAGGCTTGTCCATATGAAGGTATGTCACTTAATAATTATGCTATGTAATGGAAACATAAAAGGAAATGATAGACGAAATACACGTGATATAACAGATAAAACTGATACTGTTCGGCAACTGAAACTCGGTTTCTATATAATTACTCACCCTATTGGCAACAGTCGGCAACAATTGTCGGGAAGGTTGAACTTGGTTTAACTTTGCCGATTGAGTTGCAAATGAATCGGGGGTACCTTCCCGAATGCTTCAGGGTAGCTAGCAATGCACCCTGATTCGTCTGCAACGCAATCGGCAAAGTTGAACCCGGTTCAACCTTCCCGACACCTGTCGCCGATAGGGTGAGCGATCGTTTGGAACTGAGCTTATCTCAAGAAAGTTGTAGGAAATATTTTGTTTATCAGCGAAAACTGAATTTGATGGTGAATATGCTAATTATAATTACTTTTTACTTTTTTTAAAATAAACAATTTGATGTTTTAATTGAATTTTTAAATTTTTGTAAGATTTATCACCAAAATATCTTTTTAAGTGTATTTCGTCACAGGAAATTCGCTGTCATTCTCATAAATATATTTTTTTCTCATGGTGCCATTTGTGAGTGTTATCTCACAAAAGAACACGAATCAACCGCAAAAAATCAGTTTAAGTTTAATATGTATTTTATTTAGGCAATAGAAGTTGTTTAAATTTTGTATTTTAAAATTGTAATATAAGACTAAACAACTATGGTACCCTGTCTCTTATACACATCTTATATAAACAGTAAAAATTGGACTACTAATTTAAGTCTACTGATGGTTTAAAACCGCACGAGGAGTAATGGTACATACCGGATATTAGTATTTCGAGCACTTCATGCCTTCAATAATTACAGTATTATAATAAAAAAAATGGGATATGAGCCTTCTTCATCGCTGAGTTCGGAGAAAGAAAAAAAAATCTAATTATTTCATCAAGAAAATTATCATATTTCTTCTAAGATTGGTTCAACCTACAGTTGCGGAAAACATATTTCCATCAAAAATATTGACAATTATCTTTTATCAAACGTGAATAATCTAGAGCGAAGGAATGCTATGTAAATGGAATGCTTGTACCACATGTTTGCTGTAATTTTAATGTGCAACATATATGTTTGGTTATGGCGATTTATCGAGATGTTTTATTCAGAGACTTCGATAATAAGCCGCCTCGTCTCTAGAGAGAGAATGCTGCGTGAACCGAGGAAGATGAGATTCATAATTTTCAACTGCTCTATAATTGAGAAGCATTGACGCGATGGTTGAGGATACAGCAATTCAATGCAATATCTCATCTTTCAGAAAGATATTCTTTTGGATATCAATAAATAATGTAATTTCTAATTATAATAAATAGATACGGTACGTATCCGTTCTTCATTAAAATGTACATTCCAGAAGATTGATTTACTATAGTGTACATTTATATTAATAATACTATTTAGGTCAATTAATAGCAGGAAATGATTTTACGTAAGTGGCAAACGCCATGATGGCGCATTCAAAAACACAATAATATAAACCTGAAAGTTGACTACAGAAAAGATTACATAATCAGAGACAGTATATATTATATTGTGTATCCTTAATGCAGATCTCTAATTATATAAAAATAATACATCACAAGCACGAAACAAACAAATAAAAGTATAGCTCTAAAAAAGAAGAATGAAACCTATGATATATATAGATTGGAGGTACAACAGTTCTCTATGCTCAATTTTTCAATTTCGTATTATTGTTTGTGCAATTTGTTGTGTTTTATAAAGTGTTTCGAAATAAAAATGATTTATTACTTTATAGCCATAAAGAATAATAAAAATAATACGGTGAGTGAGGTGAGATATGTAGCAATGTGATGGATACTTCGAAGAATGTATCCGTGCCGTATTTGTTTGCCTCAATATTTACACAATAATACAGTAAAATGGATTCTCTCATAACAATGTTGACATGTCAGTAATCCAATCCTAAAGTGGTTAGTTTGAAAATTTCTTCGGTGCTTTTAAAATAACTTATCCTGGGTTTTCCATCATGCGATTGGTTGGAGTAAAGGGTGCAATCTCATTTTTGCCTGTAGGCGCACGCACGCTGGCTAAATATATTGCGCGTGCGCGTCTATGACGTATTCATGAGAGAGCCACTTTAAAGTATTGATGAGTGTACTGACAGCAAAAGATTAGTCAGCCTTAACAGTGAATTACTGTTGTCTGAATCTCAATGGGTCTAACTGTTTGACGTTGTTTCTGTCGGTCTCCAAATGTCAATAATTCCCTCGGGAAGTTTATTTGGCTTTGCAACTATTGCATTTTTATTTGATATCTGATAATTACAATAAATGATGTATAGGCTCTGTGATATACCGGTACTACAAACTTGCATACACACAAATAGATTGATAACAACAGTGCTCGAATTGGGACATGCGATGTTACAATCGCATCAAGCAGTCCTTCAACAGGATTCGAACCTGTAGCCTCTCGATTTCAAGGCAAGTTTCATACCGCAGACCACAGAGACGTATACAGTTATGCGCAGATCTAACCCCAGGCACTTTCTCTCTCTTTCAACTGACAAAACTGGAGCTATAGTTAAGCCAGAAACTACCATGGCGTGTTTGTATTTTGGCAGCGGAAGTTTAATAACCATTTGCTTGCCATGTTGCCGTTTTTAGATTATTTTAATTTGTTATACCGACTAGTATAACAAATGTCACAATCGGTCTGGTCAAAACGGCACTATCCAAGTATTTTACGCTCGGTCAGAATGTCTTAAACTATGTCACAATTGGTACGAGTGTTACGATCCAAATTCTACTATCGTGCGAATGGCAAGATCAGTTAGAATGGGATGATCGGCCGAAAGACACGTTTAAAAAAATAATAAAAATAAATTTAAAAAAAAACGATTGGTCCTAGTATCACAGTCGGAGGGGCACAATCGCTCCGAATGTCTAAATCGTTCAGAGTGGTCTGCACACTATCGGCCTGAGCAGATTGGTTCAAGGGTCACGGTCGGTCCCAGTGTCGCGATTAGGTCCGATTTTGTTCAGACTATTCATCATTCTCTCTTATTTCTCAGTGCAACACATTTGGATTCATCGAAACAGATGGAAAACGTCAGATTATGACGACACAGTGACGGAGGAACCCACACCTACGGAATCACACATTTTAAAGAACGGTAATTATAACTCTGTTCTCGCGTTTCATATCTCTATCATATCAGCACATATCGTTTTGCATCTTTGTTCTATAACTGGAGTAAGTAATTACGGAGTTCTCCCAGAGGGTTCAGTGGAGATCGGATACACATAGATCTACATAAAGTTAAATAAGCTATAAGACTAAACAACTATGGTACCTGTACAAAATAAAATAAATATTTATATTTATTACAGAAGTCATAGATCACACGATATGTTGGATTGTTATATAACTTATGAATGACAGTTGTGACCATATTTATTTCAATAAACGCCCCTTACAGAGTCTTATTTGGAATAAACGCCTCCCTCGAATAGATGCCCCGTTTATTTTTTCCTCGAATAAACACCCCCTAACTTACTGTAAACGAAACTATGGAAACATCATTCTATACATATTCAATTAATGTTTTACTCCAGTAGAATTACATTTTATGATCACGCAATAACATTTTGACAAAAATTATGTGTTAATTAGAGTAGAATTATTAAGGGGCATTTATTTGAGTATTACGTATCCAGTACACCACACATAACGCCTCCCTCGAATAAACGCCCCCTCAAAAACCCTTCACAACAATAAGTCTACGCCCCTGGGATTTTATTCGAATAAGTACGGTATTTGTAAAATGTTTTGCTTGCCATAGAAATATTGTAGATTGAGCTCCATATATAAGACTTTAAAGATATTTAGCTTTCAATTCAGTTATGTTGGACTTCCGATATTTCTGATTATTGAGGTAAAAGAAGTTTTTATATTTCTATTCTTGAATCTTTATACAATGATACCGGTATGTTAATTGCAAGCATATAATTTTGATACTCGCTTTGACAGAAGTCTGACCTATTTATTTTTCAGGCTCAATTAATATAGACGAGTGCGCCAAGATACCTTATATCAACTTTGAATTTATGTCACCAGCACCAAACGTCAATACTGCTGTTCTTGGTAAAGGTTAAAGCCGACTCAGACAGCGTCGGCCGACGTAGCCCGACCCGATTTATCGTCGGGGACAGTCTTAAGCCGTCGTGAGAAATATTAAACATGTTTAATATTCTACGACGCGACTGCCCCCGACGCACACCATCGCGTCTGCGTTTAACTCACACAGATCCGACGCGACAACAAATCGCGTCGGGCTGCGTCGTACGACGGTTGTCTGAGTTGGCCTTTAAGGTTAAAGCAAAGATACTAGAAACACAAGAGTGTTCTCCACAGAAAAATCTTGTATCTCTACTATCTTTGGTTAAAGTTTTTAGAAATACTGGCATGAAGTAACTTTATTATTGAGCCAAAAAAGGAATAATTTATATAATTTAATTCACACTGATATAATTCGCCATGGTTTACCGAGTTATATCTATGATTTAAACCACTTTCGATACCAAATCAGTACGGTGGAAAGCATTGTAAATCTGTATTAATGTTGAAGGTGAGATAACAGTAATAATCTATATAAGCGAGCAAATGTATTTCAATACAATATTAGCATATTAAGCATAGGCACGTGGTTATAACCATTCATTCATTCTTTATTTAGCCTTTATAAAAATCACAATACAACTTGTACATACAGTTAAATTAAACTATAAAAAAAATACAATACAGAATAAAACTGTGTAAATATAAGGAGGATTAACAAAAGCAATTAAAATTGCTGTAGCTCACAAGCTTGTTAAGCCGTCCCTAGAGAAACAGCAATATAAAATGTATGATATAATATATAATAATTTATAATGGTTAGGAAGAAAAACAAGTGAAATTATAAATGGGACTTAAATGATTGCGAAACGAATAAATTGAATATATATAATAATATCAATACACATAGGCCCAGACGATCAATACATACATGCACATTTATACAAACATATACACACATACACATACATACTTACACACACAGCCACACAACATCTAGATGTGTATAAGAGACAGCAGTATATATTATATTGTGTATCCTTAATTAATTAACCAGTGGTGTGTTTTTCATTTTAACTCAATTAGAGAGCATTCGCCGGACAACAGCTCTTCTGTTTGTTGGGATGTTCCTTATGACTATTGGTTGTGCAATGGCGACATTTGGATTAACTGATGGCTTTGCATCTAGTCGTCGTCATTGGATTTTTATCGGCGGATTAATATTTATTATTTCAGGTAGGGACATTATTTTAACGTGGTTACAGCCGCAAGAACTCTTGTTAAGCATGAAAATATAAAAGCAAAGCCGCTTTTAAATGCTAACCGAGTTTCTGTAGCAAGGTCTTGGTAGGACTATAGTAGGCCTATGGATTAAGTAGCTACATGATGGTAGACAAATACGACTAGGTCACAGTTTAAACGTCAGAAGTTCAAATACATTGGAATCACAAACATAGGTGTTAAAAAACAGAGTGGCTTCTGTCACAAAATGCTGACAAAATATTATAATTTCGTTATAAACGTGATGCAAGTGCTATAAAATATGTTTCATTGACCAAAACACACTTTAACCATGGAAATATAAGCTACGCTTTGAACTTTATATCGTTAAGTCAGCGTTGCAGCAATGTTTTGAAAATGATCTAAGCCTACGTTATAAATATATTAAAGCCGCTAATGGCTAAAGAAAAGCAGTGGCGGCATTAGATAGAAGTTGCTTAAGGTTTAAGGGCGATTCTCCCTCTTTCACCCCTACTAGGGACGCTTTTCTCTGGGACTCTTACTTATTTCGCACATTCACGTTCGCCTCCCCTTCCTTACCAAGCTGGATCTGCCCCTGAAAGAGTTATAAATACCAAATTGAAAACGTACGATTTTAGATAGGGCTTTATTAATTATCATGCCTGTGATATAATTCACATACAAAGTAAGATTTCAGAATCTAACGGGTATTTTTTTGTATGTCTCCAATTTTGTTTCTTAGGTTTATTTATTATGATAAGCCTGATTATATTCTGTTCTTCTATCAACCACGCTGTGGATGAAAACACACCGCGTTCAGGTAAACAAGTGTTCTCCTACTACTTCTCGGCATCTTTCGCCGTTATCTCTTTGGCCTTCCCGATGAGCGAGATATCAGGTGTTTTTGCTATGTACCTATACATACATCACGCTACCAACACAGTTAAGGACGAACAGATGAGGACGCGCGCATCAGAATCAATGCGCAGCTCGAAAACAAATTCACCGGATGGTACACAGTTCACCATCATTCACGGATCTCCGTACATGCGAGGCCGAGTTTATGACGATAGGACAGCTGATGTTGTAGAGATGTAGAAACTAATTTTATGTTCGCAATGTTTCCATAAATAATTTCGATATTTTATTATAGTTTAATCTAATTTCTCTTTAATAGACATTACTTTCCCATTATCATTATTCTTTTTTTTATATTTTAGTATTTCATGGCATTACTATAGAACAACATTGCATGCTATGTACTCGTATTCAGTGGCGTAACGATGGGGCTGGGGGCCATGAGGCTTTCTGAGCGTGGGGGCACCTGACCCTGATTACGGCACCTGTAAATGGCTGTAAATAGCACTCAGAGAAATAAAATTAAAAAAATTCGAGGGCCCTGCGGACCGCCGCACGAGAGCTGCGTTACGCCACTGCTCGTATTGTAATTAAAATGAGTAGAGATTCGCCATAGAAAATGAAGAAAACACGGTAATGACGATGAAAACATCGAATTTTTAAGTCTATATTTTATTTGTCTTTTATAAGTTATGCCTATTCACCGTTATTATTTAAAGTGACTCTCCATAGATCTGTGTAATATACCATATCGCCAATTTGGTATTACAATATTGCATGTTACATGAGAATACTTATAATATTCAATATTCCCTCATATCGATAATGCTGGTTCAGGTCATTTATTTTTCACACGTGTAGCGTTTTATGGAACGTTTAATTAAAGAAAACAGTGTAAAGAATGAGGCATTCTCTGCCGTCGATATGATATGAGACTCTAACTTCGACTATTAGTCATTCAAGTATCAATCTATGTGAAGAGTAAAACACGTTCAGTAGCTATATAACACCTTTGTGAATAGATAGATAGATGTTCGGTTGTGTTGAAAAATAGTGTACCGTATGTTCTGTGGAAAACAGAGAATTGTTAAGTGCCATGTCTACGGCACATGTATGTCAAAGGTCAGGGAATATAATAAAATACAATAATATTACGATGTTTCTTTGCATCTTACAATTACCGTTTTAGTATAATAATAAGCAAGCATGATAGTAATCACCATATTACTTATTTTTTTTATTTATTTCGGTATAAAACAAAAATGGAACCGCAGCCAATCAGTAAAAATATAAAAACAGAAACTATGGTACAGAAAATCGTAATTACAAATGATGTACTGTATTTAATGTTGTTTTAATGAATTGTATAAATTGACAGAATTGTGAATAGGTTAAATTATGTATTTTATTGTTCTATCGATTTGTATTTTACTGATAAAAAAAAATTAATAAATGTAAAATTAAATAATAAAATAATTTGAAATTGTATTAACTTGTGAAATTGCTTTATATGGCATTTTAAATTTGTGAAATTGTGTTAAATTGGAATGGTTGTTTGATTTGTGAATGCTTTTTTTAATGTATTTTATACTTTTTAAATTGTGCAAAAGTACATTGAGATGTCGCCAGTATGTTATGCGCTATATAAAAAGTGTATTAGGCCTATATTATTAGCCTTATAAAAAAATGTTGAGATATTGAAATTGCAAAAATATTAAGTTCTTATAAGAAATAGAAAGGGAAAAATTATTGTACCTTGAACCTTGACATATCAATTCGAAATTTAAACTACAAGATAGTTTAAGCCACATTTAAACTAGACACGGTTACGACATGACGACATAATATCATCGCGTAGTTTGAATTCTTCAACACTGCGTGCATCTGTATCGTGCCGTTGTCGTGTCGTAATTGTGTCTAGTGTAAATGTGGCTTAAAATTGGACAGGCTCTCTAAGCGCTACCGTCCCACAAAACGACATGCCAAATACGTGCATTTTTTCATCTTGCGCGTAATCATGTTCCTGATTTGATTGGTCAGCAATTGTTGATTGACACTTTAGAAAGGTCCACCCTCTGTTTGGCCTAGGGAGAGATTTAACAATAGATCTAGAATGATATTGGATGTAATTTGATCCTCAGACATCGAAAGTTTACCTTAGACATTTTGCAAAATGGTTATTTCAATTGACTTCGAAGTTCCAGCTTATGGAACGCATGTCCCTTTAACTTAGTTTATTTTGCAACTAAATTCGTAATTAAAATTAAGTTTTGATTCATATTCTTTTTTTAGTGAGAGATATGCAAGTTGATGTCACGGGTCATTATATAATCTGATTTATAGTCCTAATTTCATGATATTCATTGTCAATTAAAAAATTATAATTTAGCATTTTGTGTAATTGACCTTCCCATAATTGCATGTACAGACGCTTGATGTGACGTGGAGTGATTATGGCTCTAAGCTTCCTTGCGGTTATGACTCTTCATAGTGTACAGTATTGGTTTTTTAATGAGGATCATCAAATTTTCAAACATCAAACACCTTTATATCATTAGTATGCACCATGGACTTATATACTCTGAAAGCTTGACGTACGTCCCTACCGTATGTTGCATAGTTCGGTTAGGTTCTTTTATTTTCATTTTCTTTGAAACAAAATATTGTCAGGGGATTATTTAGGGGAGGGGCCTGGAGAATTCCCCCTCCTCCGATTTTGTCACTGCCATCTTTTTTTTAAAAGAAAGTACAAAATGACAATAGGCCTTGTATACTAAATGTTACAATTCGGTAACATCATATAGGCCTGAACACGAATCATGCATAGGCCTATTTTGATACTTATGTATGTGTATAATTATGTTACATTTAGGCCCATATGAAATTGATGCTCTTTTGTTTAAAAAAATTCTGGATCCGCTCTGATTGCTGAGAACAAATGAAAATGTACCAATGCATTCCCTTTAATGGACGAATTTAATGTATAGTGTCGTAACAAAATCAATCATTAGGTAGTTTTCGCCGCACGACGTTAACCTTTAACTTTAACGTTAGTACCCAACATGCAGCGCGATAGCTCCGCCCCTTTTGTAAACAAGTCGAAATGCGCATGCGCGCGCAAACCGTATCTAACGTACGTCGAGCTCGTAAACTCCTGAAATTAACTATTCCGCGCAACGCAAAATGAATTAATTATGATGTTATCCGTTAACGTTAAGGTAACATCGTGCGGCGAAAACTGCTTATTTATTGAATGATTATAGCATTATTTTTTATAGTTTCAATGATATGTACTTTGAATATTTTATATGTGCCTACATTTCAATGAACGAAAGCAATAATAAACAGAATATGTGATTAGGTATGTAATATAGGCCTCATTGTTTGAAAATTAGTGATATTTTGATTTGTCAAGTTTCCGAAAGCAGGCAAAAGTGTTTTTGAGATTTCATTGAGTGCACATTTCTTTACATTTAGTTTCGGTTAAAAGGCCTATATACTTAAAATATGTTTTAATAAACGGAACTAAAGATGCATGAAAGTTATTTCATTCATGGAGGTATCAGTTTTGCATAATACATCACACATCTAAGTTTACAAAACAGTACCGTAGTATATTTTGAAATGTAATTTTTTTTATATCACTTTTATTCTTTAAAAATATACATTAAAACACATTAAAATTCATATGAAATTGAGTGAATAAAAGGAAACGAAAAACGTGCAGACTTGTCGAATTAAAAAGACATGCAGGGGTGCCACAAGACAAAAACGTCATAAACAAATTCGGACATCAAAAACAAAGAAACACGGAGGGAAAAAGAACAATAAGATAGTTCAGCGTCGAGGACCAGACGTTCGCATGGCCAGAAGGCAGTGAAATAGCGAAACTAGATGTTGAATAGAGGCGGGTTTATCCAGGTGGGTTCATCTCTGGCGCAATAAATGCTATAAGATGAAACTAAGGCAATTTTTGAAATTTTTTCTTTAAAAGGCTTAAATGATATAGGACAATTAATATTTATGGATAGTTTTAAGGCGTGTATTGTTGTCGTCAGAGATAAACCCCCTAGAACCCACTTCCAGAGCAGCAAAATCGACCTTGAACCCAGAGCCGAGGATGTCTGAAACCAATGGGGCATATTTATTAGTTTTGAATGTGTGGACGTTCTCAATATTATACTGTACCATGGTTTGGACCAACTGATCATGCCAACTTACTGAGATACTTACCAAGTTATTGTATCACTTAAGTGGTTATAATATAAATAGAAAATTGATACGATGGCTGTACAATTACAGTTATAAAATCTATGTGTAAACTGTCTTGATACTTGATTGAACTTTAACAAACTTAATGTTTCTGAAATAAGCTAATACACAGTCATCAATCATTTGTAAGTTTCATTTACATAAATCGCAAGTTTAAACGAAGTTCATTTACTAGTACTTGTTTTACAATTACATTTTTACAAGCATCGCACTTCATAAGAAAAACAGACAAATCAAATCAGCTAAAACACAAGATAGAGTTGCATGGTGGGAATACAAACAGTGGGGCGCCACATGCTGCTGGATCTAAAAAACTTCTGCCAAATTTTACATCACGGTGAATACATAACCTCTTTTGGTGGCCCGTTTGGTGGTAGTAGATATTGATGACCCAGATACAAACAAATAGGCATAAATAAATGAAAATAATAAAACAACAGACACAAAAGTGTAGAGTCGTATGACCGGACTGTGATTAATGATAAACAAGATCTTTGCTTAGCAGAAATAATATAGGTTACTTAACAGAAAGGCGCCCTGTACGTCTGAATGTGAACTGGATAAACGAGTGAAAATCGCTCACAGTATTGAAAACTGAAGGGCGCCGCTAATGACTGGATTTGCGTAAAAAATGTGACGGTATATCCGCCTCACTTTTGCTATGCGGGTACTCTATAAATTCATATAATATTTCAACATTGTTTATGGATACTTAAATAAAAGCAAAGCGAAACATTGAATAAAATGGCCTTGTCAATTTTTGGAATGACATTCATGATATTTGTACTTAAACTCAGTGCACATCCTAATGGTTTTTGGATGTTAAATAAACGGTGTTAAGATGTACCACATTTATTTAAACAAATTCATAGTGATAGGCCTAAAATGCTCGGTTTAGAGGCTGACCATACGGAGCATTAGCATCGTATCACAAAGATAAAACAAATACAAATATTAAAAAAGGCCAGACACGCATGTCGAATAAATAACGGAAATGTAGATTTATCGCAACAACTTTTACAGGGATTCAATATTGAAGACTACGGTCTGGTCATACTGATCAAGACCTAAGTATTACAGTATTTTAATCCACGGAACCCATGATTTCATCAATTTATTTATTTATTTATTATTTATTTGTACATGTGTGTGTGTGTGTGTATATATATGTATGTGTATGTGTGTGTATATGTATATATGTATGTATGTGTGTGTATGTGTATGTGTATATATATATATATATATATATGTATATATATATATATGTGTATGTATGTGTGTGTGTGGGGGGTGCATACATTTGCCTATGTATATATATATATATATATATATATATATATATATTAGTTAAATTTTTACTTAATTTTAATTTCATTTTATATTACAGTACAGTATATAATATTGGTTTTGGATTATGTAATGCTAATAATTTTTTTAGAAGATGAGATTGTGTATTGTAATATTGCATTATATTATATTATGTTGTTTTATGTATGTTAAAAGCAATAAAAAAAAAAAAAAAAAAAAAAAAATTTCATCAAGATTATAAAATCACATGGAACCCAAACGCACCACAGATGCCACACACCCAGAAGACTTCTATCTATAGGAAATGAAACAAAAAAAAAAAAAACATGTCTGGTTTTAAATGCTGCTATACGCAGTCAAAAATGTTAATCTCGATGTTATTTTGTTGACCATTGAGGTACACCTCCCTATATATTTTTTATACCTTAATGTGTATGTCAATTTGTTTGACTAACTTTTAGTATTATCATATTTACCAGTCAATTGAAAATAGAAGTTTAGTCAAACCTCCTGTGATCTATGTATTATATCAGTCTATTGGAGTGATAAACTTAATAAGCACTCTTTTTCACTCTTGCATTTGCATGTATGAGCTTCAATAGCTCAAAGTTTTTACCAACATTGGCCAATTTTTAACCTGGTCGTTTTCACAAGATTTTCGACATTTGTCAACCTGCAGAGGACTTGTGATCTGTGGGTGTCATAGAATACGAAACAACTGGAAAATGGCGAGGTTAAAAAATCGTTTAAAAAAGTATGAGCTAGCCTATAGCTAATGGTTTTTTTCACCAAAATTGGCCTATTTTTAACCTGGTCGTTTCTCCTATAGATTTGGCCACATGGGCCTAATTGAGTATCATCCGATTTAAAATTTATATTATTTATGTTCTTGAACAAAACAAAACAATTATAAAATAAGTAGTTTCGACAAACTAACAATTTTAGAAAAAATAAATTCAAATTATTTATATTTCTAATTTAAAATTGGAATAAAAGAGAAATGATGATGACTACCACTAATGATTAAATGATGATATGTATAATTTAATAATACGATTAGAAACATTGTGATAATGTCGTAATATTTGCTGCCCTCTATATATTTTGATGATTGTTTTGATTGTCTGCTGCCCTCTATTATAGAAAATGAAAGAAATGTGAACAACTAGCATAAAAATTTGATATAATTTCCATATTTGTAAAAAACTAAATGCTTCAGTTTTAACGTCAACATGTAAGTAATTAATTAAGGATCCGAAACTAGTTAGTTTAGCGTATAAAAATATATAGCACTCAGAAAGCTAAGCATGGACATCTTTAGGCCACTGTTGTGTGGTGTGGCAGACCGAGCCTGAAAATTGACACCACCACCTGGGCTGGCACGGGACACGTGGTTTGGTGCAAAGTATGAGAAGGCCTTCTTGGCTTAAGCATGACCTCCATCGCTAAGTAATAAATGTGTGTTGAGTATTCATGTTGGCGATTCGCATCATTTGTCTACGCTGCTGTTCATGTGGCACCCCTCGGCATCACATACATAAAAGGGGCGGGGGGGGGGCAAAAAAGAAATGTTTGTTTGTCCCCTTCCACCTGCCCCTAACTCACTAAAAAAACAAAAAACAAACAAAAATCCAAATTTTTTTACCTTCATTCTTTACAAATTCAAAAAATGTGAGTAAATTTATCTTTATTTTTTGCCCAGATGCCTTACAAATTTATCTTAAGTTGTTGTCTGATGTAAGATATTTCCATTCTAATTTCTGTTTGTGGGTTATTTTTATTCCATCTGATGGGGGGGGGGGGGCAAAAAAGAAATGTTTGTTTGTCCCCTTCCACCTGCCCCTAACTCACTAAAAAAACATAGGGGATGAACAAAAAAAAAACAAAAAACAAACAAACAAAAATCCAAATTTTTTTACCTTCATTCTTTACAAATTCAAAAAATGTTAGTAAATTTATCTTTATTTTTTGCCCAGATGCCTTACAAATTTATCTTAAGTTGTTGTCTGATGTAAGATATTTCCATTCTAATTTCTGTTTGTGGGTTATTTTTATTCCATCTGATGAGTATCTTTAAACAAATTTAAAAAAAAACTACATAAAAAAAACTTTTTCCACCCACCGCTATTCATCATTTTTAAAAACAAACAAGTTTTTTTTTTGGCCTAATCATTGAGCTCTTCCACCTTCACTTCACCCCATTATCCCATAAGAAGAGGAGGTATAACATTTTAACATTCATTGCTCATTTTGTGATCAAACTATGAGATCTTACAGAAAATATCCAAATTTAGGGGTTAACCTGTATACTGTTCGGAACAGTTTGCAACACTGTTTACCACTGTCTTCCTGGTATATTTTTTTGTTTATATTTTGTACATGTACAATTTTATGTTTGTTAGAAAGTTTTCTACCTTTTTTTTTTTGTTTCATTTTCATTCCAGGAGGGGAACACTGTTGTGTAAGATACCACACTCTTGAGGAAGTCAAGATACCATACCACTGATGAGGACCAATTGTTCAAGGTACCACACCACTGCTGAGGAGCAATGGTGCCAAGATACCACACCACTGATGAGGACCAATGGTGCAAGATACCACACCACTGCTTAGGACCAATGGTGCAAGATACCACACCACTGATGGGGACCAATCGTACAAGTACCACACCACTGCTGAGGAGTGCAAGATTCCATATCATTGATGAGGACCAATGGTGCAAGATACCATACCACTGACCAATGATGATGATAAGCATTCGGTTTCCACACAGCCCGAGTTGAGTCATTGAAATAAAAGTCTTAGAATGTAAATTGAAACTGAACATTTCCAAAAATCTGTAACCTATCAAAAACCTTATCAAAAACACAATGAAGATTTTAAAAACATAATCTAATTATGTTAATTCTTTGCTTTTTTCTGGCATCATAAAACAATAATTGTAAATAATTTCTGA